CGCCGCCGCAGTGGCGTCTGCTTTTCTTATATCTGCCGGAGACGGTGAAGGAGGAAGTGAAGGATACGAAGTGAGGTTACCGGGAAAATTTATTACAGCGTCGCCGCCTTTTAGAGCCAATGCGGCGACGTCATATGCGGCAGCTGCCATCTCAGGAGTAGGGTAAGTTCCTAACCATATTCTTGTAGTTTTACGTGGCTCTCGAATTTCAGACACCCATTTCCCGCTTCTGCTTCGTATTCCCCGGAATACAGCATGTTTTCCGCCTGTCGGCCGGCTTGGTGAGCCGCCCGATGAGGTGGAACTCATGGTAGTTGTTACAGTTGGTATAATATTTGGTAGTTGAACTGTTTTTGGTGGAGATTTTGTATTTTCTAATATTGCAATGTCTGATATCAACGGACGTGGTGAAATATTTGTCTCCTCCACCGGTAGTGGTGGTAGAAGTGGCGGAGGAATAGGGCAAAAGGGTGTTTGAGAACTTTCACTAGGCTGAGGAGGTTGATTTTTTTGGCTGGTTTTGGTAGAATCATCTGCAGGGTGATCAGCCATATATAAATACCTACTATGTGTGTGTGTGTTTGTTTATGGGTATATATATGTATGTGTGTGTGTGTTTTTCATAGGTGGAGTTTGTAGAATGTCATGTTTGGTATTTAAGGGAAGAAATATATAGGTCTGTCAAGTGTCAAGCAAAAAGTGAAAGCGTGGGCAATTCGTGGATAATTTGCTATACTATTTGCTCTTATTAATGTTTTTGTTATATGTATGATAAGTTGAAGCACACGTATTTGGCACAAACTCGCTGTTAGCTGTAATCTATCGTATCTACTCCATTTCGATGCTGTCACCAGTTTAATTTCTTACACAGTAGAAGTGAAAGCGTGGCAATTTTATTTCAATGAAGAAAAGAAATTTGCTCTTTTTTCTACCCAACACATATATTTTTCTTTGTTTTAATTTACTTGACATAAGTTTGACTTGCCACTAAATTTTAATTTTTTTTTAAAAAAATTTATCACATAAATATGTGATAATATTTATTATGCTCAATATTTTATTATTTCAACATTATATATGTTTAAATACTATTATTTTTTAATTTATAAATAAATTTAATTATTTTATAGGTAAGTCCATAATATAAATTACAACAACAACAACGACCCAGTATAATCCCACAATTGGGGTCTGGGGAGGGTAATATGTACGCAGACCTTACCCCTACCCCGAAGGGTAGAGAGACTGTTTTCAGGAGACCCTCGGCTCAAAAAAAAAAGCAACAAGAGACGATATATTAGTACCATAAAAATGCATAATACAATAACAACAATATAAGAGATATGAAATNTACAATCCAGTAAGCCATTCCAAGCCTGCTCTACCCACACACATCCAAAGTTCAACCGGAATTTTGTCTGGCCCGGTAGCTCTGCCCCTCCTCATCTTACGCATTGCCTCCATGACTTCATCAATCTCAATGTCCCTACAATTACTTAATTCATGGGGACTGTCGGCATTCCTCAATTCCCCAAGTATAATATCCTGATCCCCTTCTTCACTTAGAAGTTTATGAAAGTAGGTCTGCCACCTCCTCTTAATCTGGTCATCTCCCATCAAAACTTTGCCGTCATCATCTTTTATGCACCTCACTTGGTCCAGGTCCCGAGTTGTCATCTTTTATCCTGATCCTCTTTTAAGTCCATAATATAAATTAACAAGAGGAAAAAAATCATAATATTAAGGAGTTAAAATATATAAAGAAGACATAAGTTGATAATTTAGAGGGTAAAATAGGTATTTGGCAATCAAAAATTTGAGAAATATCTAGTTGATCGAGTGACCTTTTGAGTGCTATAAGTATAATTAAGTGACTTGTTACTAACGAAAAAAATATGACTTTAATAGGTAATTTCGAATAGTTGAGTGACTATTTGAGTAATAGACTCGGATATATAGTAGGGTAATATTGAAGGTTTATCTAATTGTTTTCGTTTGAGGCTTTGTGATAGGAGATTTGATTTTGTAGTGCAACAAAAAATTAGTTATATAACTCTTCTCGCAAGAAATCAGTAAAAAATAATATAACAAATCTCAATAAATAAAATATTAAAATTTTATAAAGTTATTTTTTTCCATTTAAATTGTAACAAGACATACATGATCATTTTAATTTCTTCTGTAATTTTGCGATTGTCTGACCCGTTAAAAAACGGAAGGTGGGAGAGGTTTCATATTGCAAGAGACAAAAATACAACACTTCATCGTAATATGTCTTTGATGAGCTAATACTATGGTCATGTTGATGTGTTTCAATTTCTTTCATATCCTCAATTTTTTTTTGAGATAAGAATAACCTTTAATTGCTTGAGTCCCACTATAACAGTTTTATTGGATTTTAATTATGCAAAAATAATTTATTTTAATTAATTAATATTTTAAAGCCGTTAGTTCGACTAATTCAAATTCACCCACGTCGAATTGGCCCATGAATTCGACTAAGTTCAAAATGTTTGCTCTTTCGATGATGACCAAATCATTTCACTATTAATTAAGGGGTCGTTCGATATGGTATATAGGAAGAACTAATCATGGTATAAGAGAGTTGTTTTAGTTATTCTATTTTTGGCTAATTTTTGTATAAATTTTGGTATAACTTTATACCACTATCGACATGAAGTAACTAATGTATATTTATAACTTATACATGGATAAAATAATAAAAGGACAAAAGTATACTTGTCTTTTTTCTAGAAGCCTAGGAAAGTAAAGTATCCATTCAAGAATATAATTGTAAATTCATAGCCTTTATGAAGTAAATAAATATTTTAGATGATATTTTGTATATTCAGTTTTAATACAATGAGCCAAACGTACAACAAGAAATAATCTTGGTATTACTAATTCATTTATTATTAATATTTTTTATTATTACTAATCCATATATAATTTGTTTTCGAACCAAACAATCCGTAAGCCCGACAATCTTAGTTTTGTCCTAAAAATGAGGAAAGAGAAAGTTAGACTCAAAGAGATTTTGAAAGAAATCAAGTTATTTGCTGTGGCTTTCTATGGGATCTGTGTTTTAACTTATGATTTTAATCTTCTCTGTTTTTGATAAATTGTGACCGCCCAATCCATTAGTGATATTGTTCGCTCTGGGCCTAGGCCTTCACAGATTTAAGTAAAAATAGCATGATATAGTCAGTTTTCCTGGTTATTCAAAAATAGCAGCGTTTACGAAGTCAATGGAAAATAACCATTATTTTGCTGCAACAGAGACCGGTCCAACATAATATAATGGAGTTCGGTGCACCTGTGTATGAACTCCAAAATATTATGCTGGACCGGTATACTTTGCTGACTCCAGTATAATATACTGGAGACTGGAGCACCGGTGCTCCAAACTTCAGTATATTATACAGGACAATTATACTTGCTAGAACTCTAGTATATTATGCTGGAGTTCTAGTGTACTTATGCTGGAACTCCATCATATTATGCTGGAGTTCAAGCATACTTATGCTGGAACTCTAGTATAATATACTGGCGTATTTTCCGAGTTTTGAACAGTGTTTTCGCTCAAATTTATCTTTACATGAAAGTGGCTAAATTTCGATTATTTTTGAAGTGACTAAATTTCGATTATTTTTGAAACTGGGCTATTTTTGAACGACCAATTGTAAATCTGGCTATTTTTGAATTTCATTCCGGATTTAAAACGCATCACTAAAGTCTAAGGCATATCTACTTATATACCTAGTATCTCTTCCGTATCGATATGAGATTCGCCTAGAATGTATCAAATAAATAGTGAGCAACTCGTTGAACGATATTTACTCTTTTATAAATTAAGCATAAGAACACTTAAAACCGAAGCTCACTAGGTGAATATTTTAAGGTATGGTTTATTATTTGATATCGAAATCATATGAATGCAATCAGAGCTAACAAATCATTAGTAGCACTTAAAAAATACCTGTATAATACAGACCATAGATTGTAGAATCCAACTTGTAGAAAATCAACTATTTCTTACGTCCTTTAGGGCCCATTTCATATTTAATCATATAATATAAGAAAAAAAGAATTTGCAGACAACTAAAAGATGCCTTTTCTGCCGAAGGAAAAAAGAAATTTATTCATATTATAATTTGATACAGTCAAATAGGAAATTATAATACTATTTGTTTGTGGTCTGGTAGCAGATATTTCAATGGACTAGAATTAACCAACAAGGCTTCCATTGATCCATTAATTGTTGCACATTTCAAACTTGTAGATGTCACATGCATAATACAATGGTTTTTTGGTATAGGCAATGATCAATTTATTTTGTCCTGTCATTTCAATATTGCCAAAACCTTAACTAAAACCTTAACTACCTTTTTCGGTCCCATTGTTGTCTCATTGCTTGTCATAACATAATAAAAGTATTGCCAAAAGAGGCTGTGGTGTAGTAGTAATTATTCCTTTATTCTTAACCAGATGTTTTAGGTTTTGAATCCTTGGGTATAGAGTCGTTTTTGTTAGAGAATCTTTTACCTCCAATATAGGACTTTCCGGCTCAAATTCGAATTTAATCGGGCCCCAATATAAATACCGGACACCGGATGAGAAACAAAAAGACATAATAAAAGTATCGAAGAAAGACATTTTAGCATAAATATGTAGATAAAAGAAAAGAAAATGTATAACATGTCAAGAAATCTAACCATGAAGTGCAAATAATATAAGATGCTATTAAGCATATTCTTATATAATTATTACTATATATTATCATTTATTTTAATCATGTTACTCAGGTTATTTATATCACAAACCACACAATTATGGTATTTTTTTTTATGTGATTCAATGCTATTAGTTGACCTCACAATTCAGTTTTCTTTAATTTCATAAACTTTTTGTTCCTGAATATGTATTGCATGAAGAAGCAAAATGGTACTATCAATTTTACTGAAACAGTAAAATATGATGTACTCAAATAAATATGATAATATTTTTCTAGTATAGGAAGAAATGTGGTTCTGTGAATTTTTATTATTAATTATAATAGAGATACTAACTTTTAGATTATCAAGAATTCTCTAATATATAAAACAAGTTAGGCCATTCCATGCACAGTGGTTAGAAATTCACTTTATGCCAAAAAAATAGTGTATAAAAACAAATAACTTCAGCCAAAAAAAATTCGTGGTTAGTTTCACTTTGCATAAATTTGTACAAAATTCAAATAAATATAACAAACAGATAATACTGTAATTATGCATAATTTAAAAAAAGTGCGATGCCATAAATATATCTACGTGAGAGAATATTTAGGTAAAAATAGCATGGGTTAGCCAGTTCTTGGACTGGTCATTCAAAAATAGACAGCATTTGCAAAGTCTTTGAAAAATAGCCACTATTTTGCTGCAACACGGAAAGTTCCAGCATAATATACTGGAGATCGGTGCAGCTGTGTATGAACTTCCAGCATATTATGCTGGAATTCCAACACGCAGAAAGTTCCAGTATAATATACTGGAGTTCCAGACTTCCAGTATACTTATGCTGGAACTCCAGTATAATATACTGGAGTATTTTTCCGGATTTTAAACAGTATTTTCATTCAGATTTATCTTTATATCAAAAGTGACTAAATTTCGATTACTTTT